TTTTCAAAATTTTAGATTTTTAAAAGTTTAATATCTTTGGTTAATATGGACAAAAAATGTTCAATTGGGGCTCAAAAGATGCATCTGAAAAAACTCTACAAAACTAAAGAAAAACATTTATAAGTGTCCTAACATTTTTTTAAGTTACGTCCAAAAAACGTTTTTTTACAAAATGAAAAATGCAAAAAAAAATAGTTAAACTTCATGAATCGGGCTGAAAATACTCTCATTTTATGTCCCCCGGGGAGACCTACAATTTAAAAAAAATTGAGGCCTTTAGCTCTTTCTTGTTCTGAGATATTGAGGCAAATGTAATGTTAGTACACACACACGTAAGGTTATCTCAACCTTAACGTGTAAGGTTTCCATAGCCTTATCATATATACTTACCACACCCTAACATGTAACCTTACCTCCATGGCGGAAGTTTTTAGTTCACCTTAGGTCTACCACAGAAATATCGTGTAACCTTATGAGCCTTACGATTAGTATTCAACATAACCTTACCTCATACTATTGTGCTATGTGGGGGGGGGGGATCTCAAAGACTGCTAAAATAACTCTTTTGTGCCCCCGAGAAACCCAGCGTATGAATTTTGATGAAACTTGTTGCTCCGAGGTTTTTATAGGGTCGCTAATTACGAATCTGAAATCAGATTTCAAAAATGCAAAATGGCGGATCCAATATCGCGGACAAGTTTTTCAAAAAGTGCTTGGATTTGCATAAAATTTGTTACTCGGGGGTTTCTGAGGTTGCTGATTACGAATCTGGAATCAGAATTAAGAAATTAAAAATGGCAGATCAAATATGGCGGACGATTTTTAAAAATGTGATTAGGTTGCATAGAACTCTTGCTTTCATGGTCATTCTTAAGGAATAGTTAGGGACGTGCAACTGAGCAGGGTAGTAAATACTCAGGCTTGTCTGACTATAAACTTTTACTTATTCTATTTGTAACATAACATAAAGTAAAACTATCTTTTTCGAAATTTAAATAACTTTATTTTCTAGTAAACTTATCGCAGTAGTAATTTCAATGATGTAAATACAAATTTTTGTACTTAACATTTTTATAATAGGGGCATTCTTTGTCAAATTTTACCCCCTATCTGTCCATTTTTAATTTCAACGAAAAAGAATCAAAATAGGGCTTAAATTAAAGCTTGAAACCTCTACTTTCATTTGCATGGTGGTCTTTTTTAATAATTCAAGATGGTGGACTTGTACGTCGCGTTAAAGCAGTCGAAGAGCTTAAAAAAATTCTACTTTTTGCTAAAATAATATTAATTTTATAGTAAAAATAGTTTATTTTTAGCACAAAACATACCTCTTTATTCGTACTTTATTTTCCCTTATTGATATTTGCGAAATTTCAAAATGGCGGATTCAATATGGCTGAAAAAATATAAATTTTTGTCAATCTTTGCGAAACTTCTTATTAAAGGGTTATAAAGGGTCGCTGATTACGAATCTGAAGTCAGTTTTGCAAAATACAAAATGGCGGATCCAATATGGCAGATCCATTTTTCAGAAATCGTACTTTTTTGCTGTAAACTTGTTTCTGAAGTACTAATAAGAATAACTAAATATCAAGTGCAATAAATAAAAACAGAGCGTAAATAATTTCAAGCAAAAAAGTACGATTTTTGAAAAATGGATCTGCCATATTGGATCCGCCATTTTGAATTTTGAAAAAATTGATTTCATATTCGTAATCAGCGACCTCAAAAACCCCTGAGTAACAACTTTCAAGCAAAAAAGTACGATTTTTGAAAAATAGATCCGCCATATTGGATCCGCCATTTTGTACTTTGCAAAACTGACTTCAGATTCGTAATCAGCGACCCAAATAACCCCTTAATAGTAAGTTTCGCAAAGATTGACAAAAATTTATATTTTTTCGGCCATATTGAATCCGCCATTTTGAAATTTCGCAAATGTCAATAATGGTAAATAAAGTAGGGGAAGTGCGCCGGTTGTGGGCACCTCCACGTAAACTTCGACGGCAAGCAGACTTTAGTGATCTAAGTACACTCGATTCTTGTTATAACGAATCTCGTTACAACATTCTCTCGTTACAACGAACATTAAAACTCTCGATACAACGACAAAAAAAACACGAACGAATTTAAGAATTTAATTTAACCAAAAATTTTGGTTAACTCAAAAAAACGACAAAGTTAATCAACCCTTAACTTTATTTAACCTAAAGAATCTAGTGATCCGATTATTATTAAAAATACTTACTTTAAACTGATTCCATAATTCAGAAACTTTTAATATAAATAAACATACTTCACGAAAAATTTTGCACGTATTTGACGTTTTGTACTGTTAATCACGGATAAATTCATGCGTTTGAATAGAACGTGAAGTAGGATCCTCTCCTTCAGTCGTAATATCGAGATTTTGAAGTCCCGAGATCGTCGTTATAACGAGAATCGAGTGTATTGCAAGTCGTGTTCGTTAACAATACGGACTTTTCGTATTGATAACGAAACAAATATATGCATTTGTGTAATAGCTGTGAGCATAATAAGAAAAATTTGCATTAAATAAATAAAATAGTATATTACGATACTAGGCCAGAAAGTTGGATTTCCTGGCCGGCGTGATATATAAGGCCGAGGCGAAGCCGAGGCTTTATATATCACGCTCGCTAGGTTATCCAAATTTCTGGCCGTGTGTCGTATACAATTTTTCTGTATCCCCAGCCGAAAGTACGTTAAATAATTATTGTTTGAATAATAAAATAGCTCAATAAGTTGCCCGCCCGACTTTTGCAAAGTCGAGGCGAAGCCGAGACTTAGCTGGTCGGGGCGGGCATGAAAAAAAATTATAAGTAAAAAATAATTAGAAGTAAAATTTAAAAAATAGTAAACAAGAAATTTTCTTTTACAAATAAATATTTTCTGTATCCCTTTGCCGAAAGTACTGTCTTCCCGGTCTGATTTGGCGCCGGGAATAGCGACTTTTGTGGCCGGCTCGACAGACCCAACGAGCGCTCTGATTGGTTACAAGAAATTCAACACACGTACATGTTAGCATAGCAACCACACAAATACGTTACTTACAGAGCTCACGTTTTGAAAACAACTGACAGTCATCAAAATAATGCATGAAATTTCTTATTTTCTTTTATTATTTTTTAAGTATTAAATATTTATTTGTAAAAGAAAATTTCTTGTTTACTATTTTTTAAATTTTACTTCCAATTATTTTTTACTTATAATTTTTTTTTCATGCCCGCCCCGACCAGCTAAGTCTCGGCTTCGCCTCGACTTTGCAAAAGTCGGGCGGGCAACTTATTGAGCTATTTTATTATTCAAACAATAATTATTTAACGTACTTTCGGCTGGGGATACAGAAAAATTGTATACGACACACGGCCAGAAATTTGGATACCCTAGCGGGCGTGATATATAAAGCCTCGGCTTCGCCTCGGCCTTATATATCACGCCGGCCAGGAAATCCAACTTTCTGGCCTAGTATCGTAATATACTAATTTGTATTGTTTTCGAAGAGTAACATATGGGTGTAGATTCGTTCAGAAAAAAGGGTTTAATTTTTTTTTGCAGTGTTGTCATTATATTTTGTGATTTACCTTCGTCTTTAACCAAAATCCTGCATCACAAAACGTGTTGGTCTTTTTAAAAAATGACTCTCATTCCCGGTTGTGGGCACCTTTATGTTAAGGAAGCTCTACCATCTGACAATGATGAGGACTACTGTATCATCTATCTAAACTTTCTGCCAAGGAAAGTGACAGCTGCAAACTCCATTAAATGCGATGAATATAGTCGTTCAGTGCATTAGAAGTGCGTTATGGTTTGCGTACTAGCTACTTCACATGCAAGCATTATGCTTTTGTTAGCGATCAGCATAGTGTGAAAACGTGTCATCATTTTTGTTCTTTATCCCGGCAAAGTCTCTTAAAATAAAGAAACTTTCATTTCTTCTTTATTTGTGTTGGTTTCCTTTAATATTTTTCCATTTTTAGCGGATTTTTCAAGGGTGCCCACAACCGGGTACAAAAATTTTTTTGTCAAAAAATTTCCATTTTACTAAATTTCTAATAAAACTTTTTTATTTAAAGGAATCAATTTAATTCCTTAGACCTCTAGTTTTAAATTCGTACACATATATTTGAATAATATGCACATGGACAAATGTTATGAGGCAAAAACAAAGGGGTGCCCACAACCGGAACACTTCCCTTACGCATTGCGTTCGCGAACGACATTCGCGAAGTAGTTGTTCTTAGGCCTATTAAGATGGCTGACACATCATAACCTCAAAAGACTTGAAACATTATATATAAGGTAGTTCAAGTTGGGTGGGGGAAATCCAATATGGCTGCCATCAGCTGATTTACCGGAGGACAAACAATGCATTGAATTCAATGGGACAAATCAGTTTTTTAACCATAACTTTTTAAATATTCATTTTTGAACCATAGTGTAATGGAAAATTATTCTTTATTTATCGAAATCTATTTTTTAAAACAATAAAATTTAATTTTTTGGTTTTATTGTTTTAAAAAATAGATTTCGATAAATAAAGAATAATTTTCCATTACACTATGGTTCAAAAATGAATATTTAAAAAGTTATGGTTAAAAAACTGATTTGTCCTATTGAATTCAATGCATTGTTTGTCCTCCGGTAAATCAGCTGATGGCAGCCATATTGGATTTCCCCCACGCAACTTGAACTACCTTATTTTGAAATTGACCGCCATGCGCAATAGGTCATTGAGCACTAATTTCTCTTTACACGGCAAATTTCTCTTATGTCAACCCCCCACCAAAATTAACTTATGGGAGATTCGACTGTAATTTGAATTTTCTTTCTCCCTTACTCTCGTTGCATCTCAGCTGTCTGCGCAGGCAGTAGCGAGCTGTGCAAGTACCTTTGCTCTTATTTAAAAGTTGTAGAATTGATATTGATTGAAAAAAGATAAGGAAAAATAAATAAAAAGGACTGAAATTGAATTTCAGGAGAGAGCTGATGCCGGGGGTGGTGAAGGACGGTTTCGAGTGATCCTCCTTACCGTTCTGATAGCTCTCGTAGACGGATCAAGAGCCTCAGGTGCAGGTGCCTGCGGCCTGGCGGAATTAACCTGTCGCGACGGACATTGCGTACCGGGCGATGCCTACTGCAATGGAATAAACGATTGCGGCGATGGAAGTGACGAACCGGCACTTTGCACGCCATGCAACCGTACTTACCACGGCCGCGTCGGCAGAACTTACAAGCTCGAGCTCACACGTCCCACTGAGGGGCGGCTTCCCTTTCTCTGTCACTTAACATTCACTGCAGGAGGCCAAGGCCTCGGGGAATTCGTTCAACTCTTGTGGGACGCCTTCAGCATAGGACGTCTCGATCCTGACGCGAGTTCTCTTTCGACCAGCTGTCCAGAAGGATACATGCAACTCTTGGAACTCGGAAAAGCACTCACCGACAGTTCTTGGTGTGGCCCAGGCGACGGAAGAGCGACTTACTACAGTGAGGCGAGCACTGTCACCGCTTCGATACGTCTCTTTCACGCGCCGTCAATTGTTCCATTCGAATTTCGCCTGCGTTATCGTTTTGTGTCGCGTGAGGAGGCCGTGGCTCGCCTGGGAAAGCCTGAATTTCCTATTGAACGTGGCTCACCCGTTCCAGGTACTTATTGCTCAAGGGACTTTTACGAATGCCACCAGAAGAAATGTCGCGTTCAGAGTCCAAACTATCCCGGTGAATATCCCAGAAATACCAGTTGTTTGATAACGTTAAGGCAAAAGTTTGTCCCAACATGTAAACACGCAATGATATCAATTAAGGCGAGTTCGACAAGTCTCGCGGGACTGGCGACGAGCAATTCGACTCTAAGTGTGTGGCAGGACTGCCCCTCAGATAGGGATCGCCTCATCTTTCGTGACGGCTCGCACGTGGACGATCCGATTCTGCTGATATATTGCGGGGGTCCACTGCCGAAAGTCACAGCCAGAGGATCGACCATGCTGGTGGAATTCCGCAGTTCGCCAGAGGCAATTCCACTGGGTGCGTCGAGTCTTCGTCTTGAAATGGAGGTGCAAGTGATTTACGTTGATTCGGATGGAATGGATTTCGCACAAGGCGCTCAGGGTTGTCATTTTTTTGTTAATGGAACGTCAAAAAGAAGTGGAATATTGAGAGCTCCTCTTCACGCACTGCCTCCTACGACTAGTTGCACATGGAATATAAAAGGCGCTCTTGGCGATCGTGTGTGGATCTACTTTGCCTCCTATTCTCAAAGAGATCTCACTGGCAGTGCGGAGAACAATTCGAGTATTCAGATCGAACCGCCGTGTACAATTAAAATGACGTTTTGGGATGGCGCACCGTCTACGGGCATACCAATGGCTGTTCTGTGCGATGATGTTCCTAGAATTTGTGCTCACGCGGCTCTGAGAAATGCCACTAGAACCACCAGGCCATGCACTGAGGAAGAGAGCTACCTCACCATTGCACCCAGCCTCCTTCTGCGGATGGAGACGACCCCTGGGACCACTCTTCACACTGTTAACTTTCAAGTAAGTGTCAAATCAAACTCACTAGTAACAGTGTTTTTTATTCTCTCATCAATAAATTAATTATTCTCTCACAAAATGTACGTAGTTTTCAACATTTTCAATAAAATTAAGTGGAAATTATGTTCAAATCAAATTTCAATGCAATGACATTGAGCACACGGATTTATTGGGTCAATCATAAAAAGCATTTTTATTCATCAAGTGATAGAACTATCATTCATATTTCTCCCTATTCATTAATGAGATTGCGTTCAAAAATGCAATAAAAATGAAGAAAGAGAATAAATTCAGAATCGATAAAACTGATGAGATGTGAAGGAAATAGGGTAGAGTGGGGTAAAAAAGCCACATTTTTACTTTTGATGCTGTAAAATCTGTATTTAAAATTTTTTCTCCTATTTCCAATTGTTATTGAAAGTTTAGTTATTAAGCTTGAAAATTCTTGACGGAAATATTTTTTATCTCATGAAAGGACTAAGTTATAAAAGTTTTACGAAAGCACTGTAAGTGGCTTTTTTGCGCCACCTGGTGGGGTGAAAAAGCCACCTTACGATTTTAGCAAAACATGTTATCAATTTAGGTATTTTTATAGTTTTCCTTTATTTATAAGACAAATAGTCTTATTTGAAAAATATTTTAATAATTATGAAAGAGTTTTTATCAAGCAAAATTGAAAATTATATTAAGTTTACCTGTTTTCGATTTGCACTGACAATTTTTTGTACCTTTTTTAGAAGTTCTCTTTAAGTTTCACCACAGATAACATATTTCGTTGCAACCGTTTATTCATTGCTTATTTTTTTAATGCACTTTGAACTACTTTTTCGTCGTGTTTAATTAATTTTATTAAATAAACACGAGAAATTTTGTAAAATTAGAAGGTTAGTTTAAATAGAAAACAAGTGAATTTCACAAAATATTCAATGGATTTTTTGCCCTGGCTTTTTTACACCCAAGACCAGTGATTAAAAAAGCAAAAATAAATTTTTAATTCAGTTCAATTTCCAAAAATTAACATTGTATGCGATTTCAGTATACTTTTTTCCTTATGTACAAACATTTACTTTTATTATTCGTTCACTTAATCAGATTGTAATATGTTTGAAAAGTTCACCAAAATGTTTTCAAAAAAGCAACAAAAAATTAAAATTACAATAAAAACAATATTAATCTAGGTACAACATTCAAACTAGATTCAAAAGTTGCGTATTACCTAATAGTATTTATATTCTAAACAGCTGATAAATCGGCTTAATAGTTTTCAAATAAAACTCAAATGGCTTTTTTACACCATGGCTTTTTCACCCCACTCTACCCTAGAGAAGCGATAAGACGTACATTATCGTTTTTAAAGCAAAATGACAAAAATAAATGAATGGTTGGAGCAATTTTCAAAATAATTATAAAAAAGAGAAATAGAGAAATCTAATTACATTTTGTGATGCTATTTGTTTTGAGAATATATTTTCGCCTTCCTTTCTTTACATGTTTAGCAAATTTTTAATTTACTCGGGCTTATAGGGAAAAACATCTAATTTAAAGTTGCTCGGTGGTTGCTTTAAAAGGTTAGTAATTGATATATAATATTCTTGCTTGCAGTTCGATTATATTTTAACAGATAATAAACGGCTGTGCTATTAAAACGTGAAAATAATCGATCTTTTCATTTTAAATGTCTTGATCAAATATCTGTTCAACGAAATTCCCGGTTATTTTCGCAATTTATCTTTTCTCATTAAAGTTAAATTTATTTGCATTTAACCCTCCGTCCGACACCTATTCCGATGTCTATATCAGATGCACATGTCTATATCAGATGAACATATTCTGAAGATAGACGCTACCATGTAAACTTCCACTTGTTCATTTATTAAATAAATAACTTTATCTAAATTAAATGTCTCTTGATTATAAATAAGATACATGACAGTTAGCTATACGTATAAAGTCCCCGAATCGAAATTTAAACCCTACTTAGCCTCTGAAAATGTAGGACTTATTTAGGTTTAGCAGTCATAAAGTAGGGTCTGATTTCAATACAACTTGTTAAAATTAGACCCTCCTTTGACTCCCAAAACAGGCTGAAATTTCTCAATCTTCCATTTGGAGAAGTAAAGGAGTGTCTAATTCGAAAAAACCTACTCTCTAAATCTGAATTAGTAATTTTCTATTAATGAAATTGTGCCGAATCATTTACCAATTGAATTAGTAACTGTTTTTACTAATTTTTAGTAGTGTTTTACTAATTATTAGTAGAAAATTTACTAATTTCAAATAGTAAAAAATACGTTCTACTACTTGAATTAGTAATTTTCTACTACACGGAAAAAAATTTCTTATAGAAAACACAAACTTTTTTGTAAAATATACAAATAGGTTAAGTTGTGCTTTATGAAGTCGAGTTTTGTGTTTCCAACAAGCTGGTTTGGGTGTACCACAAACCAATCTGTAATAACACCAAGAAATCCACGCATGCGCAAGAAAATTCAAGTGAACGTCTGCTTGTCGTCTGCTGCGTGACTGTTTAAACTGTTGAATCATAAACTGAAGTTTGTGACAAGACTGATTTTGGTTTGTGTATTTCCCAAACTCAGCCGTTTGTGGATACTACAACCGCCGTTCATAGATGGCACAGGAAATCTTGTAATTTTCACAGGAAATTTTTTTCCGTGTAGCAATTAGTAAAAAACTAGTACTACCATACCTTACGCTATAAAATTCCACTTTTACTCATCCCAAGTGCTTCAATTTAATCTGAGCAAATCTTCAAATTTTTCTTCGTCTAGTTGTAGGGTCTAGGAGTATGAAAGTAGGGTCTACGAAGTTTAAAAGTAAGGTATAGGTTTTTTCGAATTAGACCCTCCTTTACTTCTCCAAATAATGGAAGATTGGAAATTTTTACACCTGTTTTAGGAGTCAAAGGAGGGTCTAATTTCAACAAATTCTTTTGAAATCAGACCCTACTTTACGACTGCTAAACCTAAATAAGCCCTACATTTTCAGAGGCTAAGTAGGGTTTCAATTTCAACTCGGGTCTGGCTGGACCCAGGTGTAGAACGGAGGATTAAGCATACTGCATAAATAAATCTACAAATGGTTAAAAAAAATTGACTTTGTAACGATTTTCTTATTTTAAGAAGGAATAAAAACCGCGACAATCAAAATTAACAAAAAACAATAAAATTATAAGACAAAACATTTCGAATAAATACATAAAATTTCTAAATAAATCGGAAAACACTAAAATACACGATATAAATAAACACACAAACAATTTACATTTCAAAATAAACATTATATTTCTGTCAATTATTAATTAAAATTTAACCTGACGTCAGAAATTGATTTACAGAAATAAATTAAATATAAAGTAACAACATATTCTACAATAAAATAGGTAAAAAAAATTGCTTAACTACATGCGGCGCCGTACGTTCCACAGCCTCGCCAGGTTATCCGAATTAAAAATTATTGATATATTATTAAACTAGGATAAATTTAGAGGGCCTTATCGTTTTGCTTTTTTTAAAAAAAAATTTTTTAATACTTTTTTTGACCGATAAAGTAAAAAATAACAAGGTAAAAAATGAGTTTTTTCTTTAAATAGCCGCCATTTTGCTAAAAAAAACGTTTTTCAAAAAAAGCAAAACAATAAGGCCCCCTAAATTTATCCTAGTTTAATAATATATCAATAATTTTTTATTTGGATAACCTGGTGAGGCTGTGGAACGCACGGCGCGCATGGTCATCTATAACTTAAGCTACAGCAGCCACTTTTAATTTTTTTTTTACCCTACTGAAAATCACTATGTAGGATCCTACATAAGATCTTACATAGAATACTAACTATAAATTTATAAAAAATCCTAGAATTATTATAAGAATCTACGTAGAAATCCATAAAAAAGCACATAATATATATGGATTTGGGACAGGATTTTTTATGAGAATTGATATAGGAACGCGCATTCGTGTTACTGGATAAAAATCTACGTTAATTCCAATATGATTACCTACATCTTTTCTGACATAATTTTGGTGTCAATTTCCTATGTCAATTTCCTTTGTCAATTTCCACCATACTTACCAATATAAAATCTTACAAAAATTCTTAGTTAAAATCTTACTTAATAATTATTAAAAATTTGTCTATATAGAATCGTAGACCTGACAACCGGCTCGGATCAAAATGATAATTTCAACAAATATCAATAAAAAATAATAATTACCCAGTGAGAAATTGCCAATAGACTTTAATCGGTCCAATATCGGTCCAATATTGGTTGCCGTGCTGGGCGCCGATTGACTCCCAATATTGGACCAATATGGGCTGATGCTTGGGATGTAACGGCATCGCCAATCATCGGTTGTCAATATTGGTCCAATATTGGCCGAATATTGGCAACCAAGAGAAAAAAAATTTTTTAAATAAATTTTTTTTAATTAAATAATAATAATAAAAAATTAATGTTTATAATTTTTGTTTAATATATTTATTTGTTTAATTATTTATTTTTAATAATTCATGTAAATAATAAATAATTTATTATTTATAAATTATAATTATTTAAAAATGCAGCAGCTATTAGAAAATACCATTCTGCAAAAAAATTCTATCATTGAAAAATCAATGATAGGCGAGAGAAATCCGCGTCTTTAAATAGATTCGCAGATGATAGACAAGAGATATCCGCGTCATTAAACGGATTCGCAGATATACTCTGGTCTCGCGACGAATCTCTCGATACTTATATACACTGGAGTCGCCGTGTCAGTTGCGAGAACGGTTACAGCGTCCCTCTTTCGGCGGAGATAAGAATTGTCACGTAAACTGCGGGTATAATAAGGCGGTCGGTAAAGCGATTTAGCAGTTTACGTAACAATTCTTATCTCTGCCGCAAGAGGGACGCTGTAACCGTTCTCGCAACTGACACGGCGACTCCAGTGTATATAAGTATCGAGAGATTCGTCGCGAGACCAGAGTATATCTGCGAATCCGT